GCTCACCTGATGATTCAACAGGGAAGCCCCCTCAAAGAAAACCACCTAATTCAAAAGCACACTTGACCTTAGGGGGTGCCCTTGGCAAAGCTCACAGATGATTCACCAGGAAAGCCCCCTAAAAGAAAGCCACCTAATTCAAATCCTAGTCAACACCTCTTTGTCCTCTGCCCTAGCCAACTCTACTACCCAGCTGCACTCCCAAGGGGCAACCATGGAAGGTGATAACATTCACCTACAAACACTGGCCACAAAGTCTTCCAGACATCACCCACGTGAGCAATCCACCCTCACACCCAGGACAGGGGCCCCTCGGCAGCCTCCAACCTCTGCTGTGCACCTCTAGGACACAGGACCATCTAACTACTCAAAACCAATGGTTCCCTTAGTTTTCATTCAAGGGTGAGCTGTCTTCCTTGCTCTCTACGCATTTACATTCCTCAGGGCTGTGTTTTTAATCTGCAGACAGACCCAAACTCAAAGTACATGGTCAGTGAGTGTTGGTGACAAGATACAAAATAGACCTCTGCGCCTCAGTCCTTTTGCATGGGTTATAGCGTCTCCCCCAAGTCTGCACACCCTCTCTAGCTTCAACCTTCAGATCAGCACAGAGCAAGGGAAAACTCTGGGCAAGTTCCAGCTTCTCGGATACTCAGAGTTGGCTGGCAATTGCTGGCTAAATAGCCTGGGGGTTCCAGAACATTCTCACTAACTCACTGTTGACTGGATTTACTCTTATCAAGAACCTATTTAAAAAAAAAAAGATTTATTTATTTATGCATACAAGAGCTGGGTGTAGGTCAGAGATGCATGAGGACAAGAGGACTCACCAGAGACAGAGTGGAGAGCAGAACAGGCAGATTGAAGAAGTATACTGCTGAGGGGAACAGTGGGCAAGACCGGAGGGGTCTGCCGTGCTATATGGGTCAGCACTACACAGGGACTGAACTCGTGCTGCAGTGGCTGTGGACAGCTTCATAGTGCTGTGCTTAACCCCTTGAGCCAACAGGGAGGGCCCCTTACCAATGACCTTCTTACAAGGTCCTCCAAATTGGTGGATACTATAGGGGAAGTGGGTGGAAATCAGACCACAGAATGGGGGGAGGGTTCAGGGCAAATGTCTCCTTTGGAATGTCCCTGGACTCCCAACAAATGAATGTGCTGGGCTTTGTGCCTTCTTTGCCATCTGTTAGTCTCTCCTTATTCCAATGTCTCTGGCTGGGAGTGGGCCTCTGGGGTCTTTCAGAGTTCTAGTGGCAGTGTAACAGGGTGGTATCTAGGAAAAGAGGAAATTCCAGGTTCCCTGCCCCACCCAGGAGGAGGGTGGAGCTGAGCAGAGAAAAAGAAGAAAGAAGAGAAGAATGAAGCAGGATGGAGAAAGGGGAGACCTAAGGAAGCCACATGGAGCAGCGAGCATGTGATGAAGAAACCGGGCTTGTTTCCTGACACTGGACAGGTTAAGGCAGATGTGAGTGAGATACCTGTA